AATGGAAATCAAACTTGCAATAAGAAACATCTCTTCCCCACAAAGTCATATAAAATATCTTTGCTTCTGGAGAGAGGACATTAGTTTGTTGTGACCACATTGCTTCTTTCAACCAATTAAAGCTCTGATGGGCAGTTTTACATGCTTTTAAGTCATTTACAAAAATGGAAAATGAATGAAGAATTTTATCATACGTGCGGATTTTTAAATGGAAGGCATGTAAACTCCCTGAGGGCAGAGACCTTGTCTGTCTTTTTCACTCTGAACCCTCAGTGCCTGGCAGGAACGGCACTCAGTGCTTCTGGGCAGAGCTCACTTCTCTGAGCGGTGTTCACACAGATGAAATGGGGACTGGATTTCCCACTCCAGAATGCTGACACTTCATAAGGGCTCAATAAACATAGGTTGCATGAATGAGTAGATAGATATGCAATCTGAGGATAGAGAATGAATAATGGTATGGATATTAGGCATCTCGTGTGCTGGCAAATTGATGTCCCAGGAAAAACTGAAGTCTGATTTGTAGCAGATGCCAGCTTTCCTGGTGGACATACGCCCACCGCGGCCAATTTCATGCTGCCAATAGGGGTTTTAGCATGCTGAGCTGGAAGAGATGGACTCGGTCAGCTCCCGTAAGTTGGGGCCCATTCCTTTGGCCTGGGGTGGTGGAGAAACGCTTGGGAAACTGCTCCATTTCCTGTTTGTTTTCAGGACGCTTCTCCCCCTGGGCAGAAAGGTTTGGGGACTTCCAGATTGCTTGGGTTTTCACAACTCTAATTCTGTAGCCACTGTCAGGCCATTTCCCTTTATTTTGGTGCAAGAGCCAGAAGGGTGTAAGCCGCAGGGGGTGGATGCAGATGGGAGGCTTGGCGGGCCCACTGGCCGAAAACTGGTGTGACCACCGTGCAGAGACAATGTCCTTTGACCCCTGACTGTCCTCACGGTCCTGGGAAACGCTCCTTTCCCTTCCCTTGCCATCTGCAGTGATTAACCTAGGCTCTTTTCTGAGGGCCATGCCGGAGGCACCTTTGCAATTCTTGAGATTTTTCTAAGCTTTGCAAAGGTCCCGATTTTTGTTTTCTTCCCAAGATTCGTTTCCCACCAGTTAGATTGACTATTTCCCATCATCTCTTGCGAAAATTGCGAGGAGTGGTATCAGCACATCTTTGTACAGTAGGCGAATATATTTGGAATGCTTATTTCTGAGAGCTGTTGAAGTTGACTAAAAATTTTACACCACACAGAAGGACTGACAATAAATTTAAGAGTAGCAAATGGAACCACTATTCTGTTTCCCGGTTGGTAAATAAATAGCTGCAAAACCCGTACTCCAATACCAGGGCGTCAAATCCACGGTGCCCGGTGATTAACAATGGCAGCGTCTTCATGGAGAGGATACATTTAGAAGAGTCTTCAGGCTCGTACCAGAAGCTGACTCCGAAGGTTTGTTTTAATGGGGCACAAATCAGGGTGAACAACGTGAAAAGAGGTCCGTTTCTCCTAGAAGATGCCACTTGTTTCTACCTCTAGGGAAAAGCCTTCCAAACTCTACGAAATCTGCAAGATGAATGGATTCCACTGTTGCCTCAATGCCCATCTGAAGACGTCAAGGCCCCCAGGAGCCCACTGAGGGCTTGGGAGCTGGTGCAAGGTCAGGACCAGGACTCGAGGCCTGGAGTGATTTGCAGTAGGATGAGGTGTGCCTTGGGGTTTTATGATTTGTCATGGGCCACTCAATCTGACCACTGTTGGGGCACATCTGGGGGGTCAATGGAAGGAAAGCACATGGTGCTTCTGGGAACTGGGAGCCAGTTCTCTAGTCTGGGGGCGGTATCTATGCAACGACAGCAGCAAAGAGGTCACTGTATATTCACTGCATGAGAAGAAAAACAAGAAAAATATTAGAAGGAAATGAAGGAGGAAAAGAGGCAAGTGCAAAGAGAAAGAGAAGACAGGCGGTTAGGAACTTGGCTGCCCTTTGTACATTTGTTCACCTAAGCTGTTCCCTTGTCTTAGCATGCTGTTCCTCCCTTTCCTCGTCTGGCTAACTCCAACACTACCTCTGGGCCTCTGGGCAATCTTCCAGCAACCCCAAGACCGGGCCAGTTTCCCTATTACAAGGTCTGACAAAGTCCTCTTTTTCGGAGGCTACGTCAACAATGCGTATGAGTGTAATTCCATCCCCCTGTGTGTGATTATTTGTCATATGCCTGTCTCCCCTACAGACCAAAAGTTCTGAACTCGTGAGAGTCCAAAAGCCTGACTCCTCCTTGGCTATGCACGGGACTTTAAGACGCCCCCTGAGAAGGAGGATGGCAAACGGGTGGGTGCTGATGGCAACCATATGTCTGAGCTGTGCTGGTTTGGCATAGTCTTGTCCACACATGAGCGCCTCAGGCTGACCTTGCGAGATACGCAGGAAAGGGTTCGACCACCGCCCCACCCCCAGCTTTACAAGGCTGTTTCTCAGGTTCTAAGAGGGTCACTGACTTGCCAAAGAGGGTCACCAATGGATCCCAGGCGAAGCCTGGACAGGCAGAGCCTCCCAACATCAGGGACCTTCCTGCCACCCCCACGGCTTGGGGCCAGGTCTCCGCAGGAGGGTAGGGGAGGGTTGAGAGTTTGGGGAAAGGGCAGTGGGAAGGCAGAAAGAGTAATCATGACAGCAGAGATTTACTCCCGTCTCCTTCTCCTTTCTTCTTGCATTAAGGACGAGCGGCGTCTGAACACGTCAGCGCAAATGGGAACACGATGAGGCATCAGTTTTTCCGGGGCTGTGACTAGCTCCACGGGGGAGCGGGAGGAGCTGTCCCTCTGAGTTAGGCCTTGAAGAGTCCCTTGGATCTCTTGCTCCAGGGGAGCCCTGCCAATCAACTGGGGCTTCCACGGAGAGCTGGGTTCATTCATTCATGCTTTCCATGAGGATTTTTCAAGTGTCTACCACCTGCCAGGCACTGTTGGGAAGGTGGATCTGAGTGACCAGCTGTCCCAGGTTCCCCAAAGTGTGGGACTTGCTGGGTGTAGACTGAGACAGCTGGTCACCCTACTTTGGAGGTGACCATAGAATGAAGTGTAGCTTACTGTCCAGAGTGTCTTTCCCAAGATCCACCTACATTAAGGTCACCTGGGTATGTTCACTAAAATGCAAAAGCCCTGGCAGATTTAAGTTTGAGAAGAGCTGAGGTCTTAAGCTTAAGAGTTCCTGTTTAAGGGCAGGAACCTGGAAGTCACTCAGACCTGGATTCAAATCCCACTTCTCCCACTGAAGACATATGGGAATTTCTACAAATGACATAATCCGTGTGGTTTTTGTTTCCTTATTCGCAAAATGGGCCTGACAATACTATCTTCATAGTGTTATTGGATGGATTCAATTTTAAAAGTGGATTGTCTTAAAGACCTGGAATAGAGTTAAATTATCATTATCAAAATTGAGCCAAATCCAGCTCATGATGAGTATTTATAAGTAAAGCTTCCTTGGAGAACAGCCTCCCCGACTTATTCACGTATCATCTCTGGCTGTTTTCAAAGGACAACAGTGGAGCTGAGTGCTTGTAACAGAGACCTCATGGCCCATAAAGCCTAAAACACTGTGCCGCCTGGGAAGCCTGCACTCAAGAACTGCCTCCACTGCTAATTAGTTCTGTGGACGTGGCCAAATTCCACGGCATCGTTGAACCTTGGCTTCCTCACCTGCAAAGCAGGGCTGACAGCAGCACTCACACCACCCCACTCATCCTCATGAGGATTCTGTGAGGTAACAAAAGACCACAAAGACCACCTCTTAGCACAAAGACCACCTCATTGCCTCCATTTATTATTATCAATAATTCTTTTCCCAGCCAAGTGACTGGACCTGATTTAATCCTGTCTTTTGGCCTGTCACCCCTCTCCCCCTACAACTCTGACCTCAGGCCCCCCCACTGCACTGGGTTGGATACTAGCCTGCCCCCTCATTCCTGGGTCCCACCCTAGCCAATTTCTGTCTACTTGGAATCTTAGAATGAAATCTTATTTGGAAAGAGGGTATTTGCAGATGTAATTCATGTAGGGACTTCCTAGGTGGCTCCAGGAGTTGATGATGGACAGGGAAGCCTGGCATGCTACAGTCCATGGGATCCCAAAGAGTCAGACATGACTGAGCAACTGAACTGAACTGGACAGGTGGCACAGTGGTAAAGAATCCACCTGCCAAGCAGGCGCTGTGGGTTGGAGCCTTGGATCAGGAAGATCTCCTGGAGAAGGGAATGGCAACCCACTCCAGTACTCCTGCCTGGAAAATCCCATGGACGGAGAAGGCTGGTGGGCGACAGTCCATGGGGTCTCAAAGAGTCAGACATGACTTAGTGACTAAACAACAGCAACAACATTCATTTAGAGTCTCAAGACTAGCTCACAGTTGATGAAGATGGGCCTACATCCATACTCTGAAAACAGTGGAGAACACAGACACACACACAGGGGAGGCAAAAATTGGGGTTTATGCTGCCACAAGCCCAAGAAGGTCACTAGCCCTAGAGGCTGGAATAGGTAAGAAGGATTCACCCCTAGAGCCTTCAGACAGAGCATGGCCTGCCAACACTGATTTCAGCTCTTGTTTTAAGGCACCACGTTTGGGGTCATTTGTCAAGGCATCCCAAAGAAACTAACAAACAGTCAAGCTCTGACTTTGTCTTCCAGAGCCGCATCCATGCACGCCGGCGCGGATTCTGAGCAGGTGGTAAATACCCGCTTTACCAGGCTTGCAGGACAAGCTCCCGTGTAACATGTTAACACGTGTCAACGTATTAACCTGCCTATACCTGAGAAACCCGTAGGCCCAGATGGCAGCAAAGTTTTATTGAAAGAAAAAAAACTCTTAAACTGGAATCACAAGAGGAAAAGGAAGCGACGGAAGTGCAGAGCTGGGTCTACCTCTCCCTGAAGGTACGCACAGCACCCCGCAGCCGCTCATCGGCACTCGTGGCCGTGTCTGACAAGTTTGTTTTGGCGGCAGTCACCTCCTCTCCTTTCTAGTGCAGCTGTGAGGCGCCGAGGAGGCAGCTTCTGGTCTTCTCTCTCCATCCGGCACCGGGCCCACCCCTTTCTTTCTTTTCTGGGGCTGCCCCCACCAGCTTTCTGTCCTGGGGTTCCCCTCCCCTCGATCCGTCTGCCTCCTCCTTCCTTGCCTTGGAATGACATCACTGTGTCATTACTTACAGGGTTTCGGAGCTCATCACTGTGGGAAGACTGGAGAATAAAAAGGAAAAAAAAAAAACTAATTCTAATAGCTAGCAGTTATCGAATGCTTCTAACAGGCCCAGGGTTTGCAGCTATAGCCTCATTTTAACCTCACGAGATTCACACAAGCAGATGCTACTGTTATTATTATACTGTCCTCATTTTAAAGATTAAGATCGTGAGGCTGGAGGAAGTTCAGAAAGTTTCCTGAGGCCACACCACTGTTATGAAGGATTTAGACTTTATTCTAATGATTCCAGAGCCCAGATCAGGAAGCCAGGTCCCATAAAGACGTTATTAGGGTCATGGCCTCCTACCTAGAGTTTTGACTTTGTTTCTAAGATATTAACTTGGATGGTATTATAGACTGACTGTGTGTCTCCTTCTAAAATTCATACGTGAAACCTAGTCCCCTGGTGATAGCATTAGGAAGTGGAGCCTTTGGGGAGAGATTTGGCCAGCTGGGTGGAGACTTCATGAATGGGATTATTGCCCTTATAAAAGAGACCCCAAAGAATCTTTCTCCACTGCAGGCGGGAATGCAAATTGGTACAGCCACTATGAAAAACAGGCTGGAATCTCCCTAAGAAACTGAAAATAGAACTAATATATGATCCAACAATCCAACTCCTGGTCAGATATCCAGAAAAGATGAAAAATCTAATTCAAAAAGATATATGAACCCCAGTGTTGATAGCAGCACTATTTATTTTATATATATATATATATATATATACACATACACACACACATACCTATGTACATATACATAAATATATACAAATACATATATATATTTCAGCCATAAAAAAAAATGAAATAAAACCATTTGCAGCAACATGGATGGACCTAGAGACTATCACACCAAGTAAAATAAGTCAGAAAAAGAAAGACAAATACTGTATGATATCACTTATATCTTATATCTTAAAAAAATGATACAAATGAACTTATTTACGAAATAGACTTACAGACATAGAAAACAAATTTATGGTTACCAAAGGGGATGGCAGGGGGTGGGGGATAAATTAAAGCGTTTGGGATTAACAGATATAAACTACTGTATATAAAAGAGATAACAAGGACCTGCTTCATAGCACAGGGAAAGAGAGCCAATATCTTATAGCAACATAATATAAGAGAATACGAAAAATAATATGCTTATGTGTGAAATATATACACCTGAATCACTCTGCTATACACCTGAAAGTAACACGACACTGTTGATCAACTACACTTCAGTAGGAAGAAAGGAAGGGAGAGAACAGGAAGGGAGGAATGGAGGGAGAGCCAGGCAGACCCCCGAGAGCTCCCTCGCCCCTTGCACCACGTAAGGACACAGGGAAAAGGGGGCCGTTTATCAATGAGTCGGTGGGCTCCTCACCGGCCAGTAACTACGCTAGTGCCGTCATCTTGGGCTTCCTAAGCCTCCAAAATTGTGAGAAGTAAATGTGTGTTGTTTAAGCCGCCCAGGTGGTGGTATTTTCACTTTAGCTTTCTAAGTGGACTAAGGCAAACGGCCATGACAAAATGTCAAAAGCTTCTTGTATTTTGGAGGGTGATTTCCCCAGCCTCTTCTCTCCTCCCCTGGAAATCTGACCAGTGTGAAAGAATTCTTGCCAGCTAGAATCTTTTCAGCAGGACTCTTGCTGGGGAGCTATTTCTGAGGACTTGCAACCTGAGAGGGAATGTTTTTCCTGGGTCTCTGCAATAACGGAAGCTCTTGCATTGGCCGACTGTTTCCTAGAAGTCATTCCAGGTAATAGGTATTCCCTGAGAAAAAAGTTTCCACGGGCAAAACTTCCAGAAAAACCCTAAGACAGAGGTTTCATGACTGCTACACTTTAGAACTGTCTGTCTGCTGATACATTTTGGGAACCTCTGAGACGGGGCTCTGATATGCATCCATTGTTTGATGACAGACCCCTCTTTTTATGGAAGGAATGCAGATCTCAGCCCCTATGGAGAACACTTTGACAAACACGACCTCTGTTCTTTCCCTAACATGAAGCATTTTCTTCTCTGGGGCTACACATTTAGTGTCCAGTACGTATTTCCTGGGAGTTCATTGTTTTCAAAGCCTGATCTACGTAAATATCAAATGACTTACAAGACATGGCAGGCCCTCCCGGTGATGAAATCTGCAACGACTTCATCTTTTCCAGAATCACCCAGATGAGTCCTGAGGTGCGGGCCTTTGGCTGCTGGAAAATAGGAAACAGAGTCCCGCCTGGCCCTAGCGCGAATTGTATGTGACAGCTCCTGCTCAGTTTCAGAGACGAGAAATGTGTTGAGCTAAAATTATTCTAAGCAGATGTAAATCTGGGCGATGTGACGGCAACACACGCAAGCTTGCCATTTGTTTCACTCCAAGTGTCTCCCGATGCACAGTTGCCGGAACTGCCGGCAACCACAGCGATCAATACAAGCGAATTGCCTGTCTTTAACTGCACATCCACTCACCTGGAGACGGCCTGGTGGTGAACACCCCTGCATCTGCCAGGCACAATGGCTCCTGGTAGCTCCAGACAGGCAGACAGACAGGAGTGAGTTCCTCTAGTGCAAATGCCTGTGTGTGTTGTCTCTTTTGTCTACTGTCCTGTACTATGATCAAGAGTTGATTCTGTCCTGTGATTGGAAGACACCCTGCTTCCAAGATCCCAAGGGCAAAGTGAGCATCCACTAGGTCCAAAAGAACTAGCAGCTCATGGACAAAGGTGGGATCTCCCCTCTGTGGGACTCTCTTGGGGGGTTTAAGTCTTGTTTAGAAGCTGAATCCTTGTAATAAGTCTCTCAAAGCATCCACAGGAGATGAAAACTAATACGTATCTTTTATGGAATGACAATAAAACCAATGACTGTAGTACACTGAGTATATCTTACATGTGAATCATGGAGCCAAGAGTAGCTTCTTTATTTGCCTCTATCATCAATCTCCAACCACTGTGCACTTGGGATGTGTACATGTGTTTCGGTGGAGCCAATATGAAGTTTCACATCTCTTATTTTCTTCTTGGAATCTTCTAGGAATAAAAGTATGTGTGAAATTTAACCTGAAAAGGCTGAGTTATTCTGACTCCAAGATTTCCTGAGCATTGCTCTACTTGTGGTCAACTGCACTGAAAAAAGCAAGGGGCTGAAATCAGGAACAAGGGTGCCCACTCTCACCACTACTATTCAACATAATGTTGGAAGTTTGGGCCACAGCAATCAGAGCAGAAAAAGAAGTAAAAGGAATCCAGATAGGAAAAGAAGAAGTGAAACTCTCGCTGTTTGCAGATGACATGATCCTCTACATAGAAAACCCTAAAGACTCTACCAGAAAATTACTAGAGCTAATCAATGAATATAGTAAAGTGGCAGGATATAAAATTAACACACAGAAGACCCTTGCATTCCTATACACTAACAATAAAAAAACAGAAAGAGAAATTAAGGAAACAATACCATTCACCATTGCATCAAAAAGAATAAAATACTTAGGAGTACATCTACATAAAGAAACAAAAGACCTATACATAGAAAACTATAAAACACTGATGAAAGAAATTAAAGAGGACACAAACAGATGGAGAAACATACTGTGTTCATGGATTGGAAGAATCAATATTGTCAAAATGGCTATTCTACCCAAAGCAATCTATAGATTCAATGCAATCCCTATCAAGCTACCAATGGTATTTTTCACAGAACTAGAACAAATAATTTCACAATTTGTATGGAAATACAAAAAACCTCGAATAGCTAAAGTAATCTTGAGAAAGAAGAATGGAACTGGAGGAATCAACCTGCCTGACTTCAGGCTCTACTACAAAGCCACAGTCATCAAGACAGTATGGTACTGGCACAAAGACAGAAATATAAATCAATGGAACAGAATAGAAAGCCCAGAGATAAATCCACGAACCTATGGACATCTTATCTTTGACAAAGGAGGCAAGGATATACAATGGAAAAAAGACAACCTCTTTAACAAGTGGTGCTGGGAAAACTGGTCAACCACCTGTAAAAGAATGAAACTAGAACACTTTCTAACACCATACACAAAAATAAACTCAAAATGGATTAAAGATCTAAATGTAAGACCAGAAACTATGAAACTCCTAGAGGAGAACATAGGCAAAACACTCTCTGACATAAATTACAGCAGGATCCTCTATGACCCACCTCCCAGAATATTAGAAACAAAAGCAAAAATAAACAAATGGGACCTAATGAAACTTAAAAGCTTTTGCACAACAAAGGAAACTATAAGGTGAAAAGACAGCCCTCAGATTGGGAGAAAATAATAGCAAATGAAGCAACAGACAAAGGATTAATCTCAAAAATATACAAGCAACTCCTGAAGCTCAATTCCAGAAAAATAAATGACCCAATCAAAAAATGGGCCAAAGAACTAAACAGACATTTCTCCAAGGAAGACATACAGATGGCTAACAAACACATGAAAAGATGCTCAACATCACTCATTATCAGAGAAATGCAAATCAAAACCACAATGAGGTACCATTACACGCCAGTCAGGATGGCTGCTATCCAAAAGTCTACAAGCAATAAATGCTGGAGAGGGTGTGGAGAAAAGGGAACCCTCTTACACTGTTGGTGGGAATGCAAACTAATACAGCCACTATGGAAAACAGTGTGGAGATTTCTTAAAAAAACTGGAAATAGAACTGCCATATGACCCAGCAATACCACTTCTGGGCATACACACTGAGGAAACCAGATCTGAAAGAGACACGTGTACCCCAATGTTCATTGCAGCACTGTTTATAATAGCCAGGACATGGAAGCAACCTAGATGCCCATCAGCAGATGAATGGATAAGGAAGCTGTGGTACATATACACCATGGAATATTACTCAGCCATTAAAAAGAATTCATTTGAATCAGTTCTAATGAGATGGATGAAACTGGAGCCCATTATACAGAGTGAAGTAAGCCAGAAAGATAAAGAACATTACAGCATACTAACACATATATATGGAATTTAGAAAGATGGTAATGATAACCCTATATGCAAAACAGAAAAAGAGACACAGATGTACAGAACAGACTTTCGGATTCTGTGGGAGAAGGCGAGGGTGGGATGTTTTGAAAGAACAGCATGTATATTATCTATAGTGAAACAGATCACCAGCCCATGTGGGATGCATGAGACAAGTGCTCGGGCCTGGTGCACTGGGAAGACCCAGAGGAATCGGGTGGAGAGGGAGGTGGGAGGGGGGACTGGGATGGGGAACACGTGTAACTCCATGGCTGATTCATGTCAATGTATGAAAAAACCCACTGCAATGTTGTGAAGTAATTAGCCTCCAACTAATAAAAATAAATGAAAAAAAGAAAAAAGCAAGGGGCTACCCTCAACTTTCAGTCCTTCTCAAATGGATGTGATATTTGGATGGGGAATCATTGTTGTTGTTTGGCTGCTAAGTTGTATCCGAATCTTTTGCAACCCCATGGACTGTAGCCCATCAGGCTCCTCTGTCCATGGGATTTCCCAGGCAAGACTACTGGAATGGGTTGCCATTTCCTTCTCCAGGGGATCTTCCCAACCCAGGGACTGAACCCACATCTCCTGCTTGGTAGGAAGTTTCTTCACCTCTGAGCCACCAGGGAAGCCCGGGTTAGGGACTGAGAGCTGGCACATAGAACTGGGATAACTGGCCTGATTCAGACACTGGTCCTTTGAGGAGAGCACTGTGGTCATTCTTGAGGGAATCCTGAGTATAGGGCTTGGTCATGGCCAACAGAAAGCAAGTTCCAATAGGAAAGTCCAGACAGGCATGAAAGAATTGGATTTCTGGCTCTGTCACTTACAAGCTTGACTTCCTCCCTATAGCCCTTCACGTCATCATCTTTATAACAGAGATGACTGTATCCAGACAGACAGCGTGGGAGGCCACAGAGACACACGACACATAAAGTGTTCGGCACACAGTGGGTGCTGCTCCAGTGACAGCTTCCATTACTGCAGACAATGGTAAGACCTGCTGGGAAAATACTGGCCTATCTTCTGTGTCCCGATTGAGTGCACAGTCTTTCCTGTCTCTGAGTGTTGGAGGCCTTGCCAGGAAGGCCTGGCAGCCACCAACTGAATCAGCCCAGGCAGGGACTTGGCCACACGGCGTTCCCGAAGCTGGGCCTGAACCCGTGAGTCACACTCCCTTCTCCATGTGGACGCCGCAGCAAATCACTTTTCCCATTGTGAACAACCAGACACGCTCCAGGGTGGTGACAGAAAGTAATTATGAACGTAAATGATCTAACCAGACATGGATTCCACCCAGGTTGAACCTCTGGTTTCCTTTTTTACACAGTCATCACACACTGCCCATGGAGGGGAGCCTTGTGGGGAATTCTGGAGCCATCTGCCCGCAGAACCACAGTCTGGGGTTCAGACTGGGGCATGGCACATCTGGCTTTACTTTGGGCTCTGGTGACACCAGGAACGTGGATAAACATCAGGGCCTAAGCAGGCGGTGTTCCAGATCCAGGAGCACATGTCTTGCAGGCCATTGTCCTCCTTTCTTCCAAGTCAAGTTCGGAGGTTTCCATTCTGATGGGACACGACGGCAGTGTCATTAGCATTTGGGGCACTCACACCCCTCCCTGTGATGCTCAACACCCAGCATGAGAGGTTACATGTGCCCCAGCCAACGGGCCTCCAGTTATCCTTTTAGTACTTCTGCAATACCGTCCATGGGATTCTCCAGGCGGGAATCCTGGAATGGGTTGCCATTTCCTCCTCTGTGCCAAGTCTCTTCAGTCATGTCTGACTCTTTGTGACCCCATGGACTGTACCCCACCAGGCTCCTCTGTCCATAGGATTCTCCAGGCAAGAATACTAAAATGCGTTGTCGTGCCCTCCTCCAGGGGATCTTCCCAACCCAGAAATTGAACCCATGTCTCTTACATCTGCCGCAGTGACAGGCAGGCTCTTTAACTACTAGCGCCACTTCCTCCAGCAGACCATGTTTTGTTGGAACTTCACTGTGACCCATCTTGTGGCTCAGAGCAGCCTGGCGTGCTATAGTCCGTGGGGTTGCAAAGAGTCATACATGGCTTAGCAACTGAACAGCATCAGTGACAACAACAACATTTACAATGACCCATCCACTACTTCTAGTACAAAGACTAGACATCCTTTACTCTGGGCCAAGCTAGCCCCTTTCCCATATATTCTCTAATCCTTATGAATACAGATATCGTTTTCAGTTCCTAGATAGAGAGACCAAGACTAAGAAGTTTAGGATAAGGTGCTCAAGGTCACATGGCTAATCAATCCACAGCAAAGCCAGAATGTGAATCTGGGTCACACAGTTCCTGAGTTCAAGCTCTAGAGCATCTGTCCTCTGACCTGAGAGGTCCGTGTTACAACCATCAGGGCAACTAAATGATTAAAGTAATACCTGGGAAATCTATTCGAAGCCACGTATTGATATTTCAAAAGAAATAAGAAGATGAGCGTACCAATGAATAAAGAAGTCTAGTGATCTTGGTATTGTGAGAGAATCCTGATATTTGTTGCAAGTAAATACTTTAAATGAGGAACAATATACCTATAGCAGAGCATGAAACCCTAAGTATCTGATTTGATGATAAAGGTAACCTATATGTCCTCAACTGAGATCAAGATGTAAAGTGTTTCCAGCCCTGCCTCCGGAAGGCTCTCTGATACCCCTTCCTGGTTAGGCCTCCTTCCTCCCCACCCACTATTCATACTTTCATCATAGTTGATTGGTTTGGCTTTTCATTTTTAGCTTTCTACAAATAGATTTATACAGTAGGTCCTCTTTTTGCCTGGTTTCCTCAACAGAATATCTGAGATTCTTCCAGACTACATTGAAATGGGCAGTATTGTCAGAGCAGTAGTAAACTGCTCTATCATATTCCACTGGATGGAGAAACTGCATCTATTTATCACTTGACCAAGATGAGTAAGTCATCTAGAAACATTTGTGTGTATGTCTTCTTTGGATATATGCCCTGGGTTTTAGTGGATAATATTCCTAGGGATAGAATTCCTGAGTGATAGGGTTGGTGTGTGATTAGTTTTTAGTAGAAACTGCAAACGGATTTCCAAAATACTTTTACCAATTTATATTCTACCATCATCGCATGATGGTTCCTTTCCAATCCTTGCCAATATGTGGTTATGTCCAAGCATTTATTCTGTGAGTCCCTTGTGCTTCCTCCACTTTATAAGGTAAAGCCTTGTGTCTCTGCAGTGAATCATGTGCCATTTCATGCTTTGTTCTAACTTTGAAAAAAGTTACAAAAAAAGGATGCTGTCATTGGCAGGTCTGTCCCTGAGCAGGGGTGAGGTGTAGAGATGAGGAGTGAAGAAGACAGACTTTAAAGAAAAGGCCCTTCAAACCAGGATGGAACACTGATGGATGGAATCATTTTGGAAATTGTACAACTAAGTTCTATCTCATGCATGCATCATGCTGGGCTTATTACAGTCCCCAAATCATATTTTATAAAGAGATCAGTTCAATGACTGGTGCTTTGCCACAGACTTAATGAACTGATGCCTCTACCCTAATTTGCCCAAGTCATCAGATGGCAAATGTTTTATTTAGCTTGACACATCAAATATTCACCAAGTTTCTCCATGGCTTACTCATTTTTTCCTTCCTTCATTCATTCACCAAACAAACATTTATTGAGCATCCGTGGTATGCCAGGAACTGTGTTCAACCTGGGGACATGGCAGGATGTAAACCCAGCACATAGGTGCTGCCCAGAAAGACATGGTATTAAATTAGCAAGCAGAATACCTCTCACAGTGTTAAATGGTGGGGGAAGGCGGCATTGTATTATTCATTCACTCAGTAAGCACCTGATGAAGGATTCCTGGGCATTCACAGGGCTTTTTTTCTATAGGCTGAGTGTGAGAAAGTGGCGAAGACCATTTAGCTGCTCCTATGAGCTTGTGGCCCAGGAGCTGAGGGGACAGAGACCTACATGCTGCAGTCAGAGGTGGCTGCAGTGAAGGATGAAGAGTTGGAGGGTGGAGATTTTAGAGATGGTAGTTCAGTCCCTGTTCCAAGGGACCCCTCACCAGGAACATCAGGGGAGCTCATGCTGCTCCTGTAATCGCTCCCTATACTCTCGAAGGCTTGTCAAGCCCCAGGATGCGAATCTGAGTTCATGGAAAGGCTTGATGGTGCTACCATGCAGACCACGCCGCGTGTCAGGGATGGGACTCACCTTTACACAGGTGGCCCTGTTGACTTACACCCCACCTGATCCTAGACACTGTCACTAATATTTAGTTAATAGAAAAACTAAGACTCAAGTCAGTTTCAACACACACCCACACACACACACACACATGCATTTGAATGTAGAGAACTCAAGTTTTCAACACCGGACACTTCATTACGATGTCTAGGATCTTTGCACTTTCGAATGTGCGTGGATTTTCATGGTGAGGTCCCTACAGCAGCAGGAGGGTGCCCTGTTGAAATACTCAGGAAACCTTCCATCATAATGATGATGGTAGTGTGATCACAATGAGTCAAACATCACCTACTCGGAGCCAGAAACTGTTCAAAGCCTGACGACGATGAGCTTGGATCCCATTTTGCAGATGAGTTGCCGGAAGTTCAGAGGGGTCCTCGTGCAAAGTGTCTTACAGGTAGCGAGCAGGAAAAGGAAGAGTCAAACTTAAACAGGCCCCTGTTTACAGGATTACAGGAGCACCAGGCCCCTGCTCTGAAGCCACTAGGCTGTGTGACCTCCCTAAGGGACTGAAGGCTCATGTGAAGTGGACACATGTTGGTGCACGTTCACACCAAATGTCCGCGTGCCGCAGAGTGCTGATATTATTTACCGCGTTCTCAGTGAGGCTTGGAAACTCGTTCAGAGTCAGGTATAGTACAAAGCCACATTTCAACTCTGCTCTCCCTTTCGTCCCCCCCCACCCCCCACATTCCAGAATAATGAGGTTGTCTCTCTTTTGTGTGATGTCAGGACTTCCCTGCTGGGCTGTGTCCACTCCGATGAGGCCCTTTTGTCCTGGGAAATCAAATGATTTGGTCTCTTTAGAGGCACTGGGCTGGGAGCCCTGGCTCTCACGTGGCCAGTGGACATGACAAGTCGGAGCCGGAGACCCCAGGTCCAGCCCCAGCTCCATGGTGGGGGTGGGGGTGGGGTGGGGGAGACCTTCTGAACTGCAGGGGTTCTCTGTGAAGCGGGGAATAAACACACAACTTTCAGAAGTTATTTTAGTCGAGCACGCACAACCCTGGCATTAAATGTGCCCTTTTTTTTTTCAGCTGATTGTGTTCAATGTGGCATCAACCTGCAGAGTGCCTCTAATTTCCCACCGCTCTGTACCTGCAGCAGAGAATGGTCACTTCTTTCAAATATCGAACTTTCTCTGGTTTCGTCAGAAGGGACACGAGGTTACTAAGAATAAATATATGCTGAGAAGGGCTATGAATTTCAGGTGTTAAAACACATCATTTTATTTCTTTCTACTGTTCTTTTCTTCCCCCTCACTGACAATTTGAGAACCACCTGCTCTGGGATTAGGGAATGGACCGTTTTCAAGGCTTTCTGGGCACCCCGTGCTCTAGGTTCTAAGGGGCCATGCGCCACTGGGAGAGAGGGGGTCCCAGTGAAGAGGACGGGCTCTGAGCCTCTCAGCCCCTCCCTTTCCTCCCTCCCTCCTCCACCCCCCTTTGCTCTGGCCTGTGAGAGGTGGCTTTCGGTAGCTGCCACAGTGAAAAACAAAATGCAAACCAAACAAATAATTCATTTCCAAGGTTTGCTTACAGAGAGAGGGATCTATTTATGAAACATATATTGCTCAGTTTCAGGGGAAAATCATGAAATCATTGCAAGGGGAAAAGCGTGGAAAGAGCTTTATTTTGCATAAAAATCTCCTTGCTCTATGATTTATGTGGCTGAGACTCAGGCTGGGGGAGCTGGGGCCTTAGTGTCTTATCGAAGGAAGGCGAGATTTAAAATGCAGAGAGAATCCTTGGTCACAACAAAATGCCAGCATTTATTAACCTGGGTTTGGGTGGGGATGGAGGTAGGGGTGGGTCGTGGACAAGATATAAAGATAAAAATGTATTTTGCTTTGGGGGGGATCTTTGAGAATAAAGACTGACCCCAGGGTATGGTCTGCATTACCACTGAAAGCAGACAAATCATTTCCTGTAATTAATATTTGAGGATTCAGCTGGGTCCTCTGAACTTCTACGAGGTGCACGGGCTGGCATCATTGATTTAATTTACCAGTTACCTAGATGCTGAGGAGGAGGGAGCCTTCCTTTCCCCTCTCTGGTTGAGAATGTTTTATTGCACTCAGCTCGTGTTTATCAACTGCCCTCTGGGCATATCTACCACTTAAAAGGCACTGTCTCCTAGGATCTCCAGGCGGGAAGGAAACTAACAAGTCTGGTGCTTGAATTTTTACCACCACATCCTAGAAAGGTAGCTGATAAACTTCTGCTTCAACACTTTGCGAGATGGGGAGATAAAATCCTCCCGAGCAGCCCCTTCTATTGTCAGATAACTGTGGTTGAGATCTCTTACACTGAGCCAAAAATGAGGTCTCTTTTAACTTTCAGTTTGGTCTTTCTTCTGCTCAAATATTACTCATGAGATTTAACCCCTCTGGGTATGAGGGCGATGAAGTGCATGTGATTTGGGGCAGCCTCATCAGAATTCACATCCTAGCTCCATCCTGGATATAGGATATTGTGCAAATTACTTCCTCATTTGAAATATGAAAATACTAATTAATGACAATCTGTATCAATCAGGGCATGTTTTGCTTGCTGCAGTAACAAACAGCTCCAAAAGTCTCCGGAGCTTCTTGCTCATGCTTGCTGTGGGTAGGACCAGGGTCTTACCTGTCCTGTCTTCACCCAGTGATTCAGCTGATGGGTCTATATTGACATGTGCTTCCCCCTAGAACTTTTATGTATCATTTGCATGCACTTCACTGGCCAAGGAACATGACATGGCTATGCTCAATTTTAAAATTCAGTTCTAACATGTCCCTAGAAGGTGGAGAGTTGACAAATTTGGTGAACCTGGCAAGCCCCCATCCCCTCCCTGCAGACTCACAGATTTAAGCTTAGCATGTGATGTATGTTTTGCAGAATGCCTGGAACTTGCCGAGTTTCATTCCCCTGTAGTTGGCAAATCATTGAAGGTACTCTTTGGCTTAGACATTCTCAGCTCCTTCTGGTGTTCCTCATGCTACATTACCTTAAATCTTTTTACATCCAGATTTGTATCCCCTAAAAGTCCTATCCAAATGACCCTATGACAGTGAGCTCTACTGGACACAAAAAGCAATATTCTAGCTAAGAATTCAGAGAACAATCTCCTTCCTTCTGGATAAGGCATCCTAAAATTTTATTTTTGTTCACTTTTTGGCAATCATGGCGCACTGTTAAATCTGCTGTCAGTTGAACACCCTCATGTACTTTCCTGGGAAGCTGTTTTTCCCTAAACCCATCCCTGTGTCATTAGCTTTTGAGTCACAGAGGAGTTTCACATCGTTCCCCATTAAATCAAACAGCATCTGTTGGATTTGGCCCATCCTTCCAACGCACTTGTAATTGCTTCAGATCAAAATCTTTCTCGTCTCAGATGCAGACAAATGCTACAGAATGGGAGAGGTGTAAAAGCACCTGTCCCAACTAGAGATTCCAATGAACGGCCAAGCCTTGGAAACAATGGCCTCATCATTTGCAGGACATCTTTTTTACTTATTTTTTAGCAGCTTCATGGAGATGCAATTGATGTACAATAAGCTGCATATATTTACAGTGCACAATTTGATATCTTGACACTTGTGCACACCTACAAAACCTCTACCATTATCAAGACACTATCCATCACCCCCAAAAGTTTCCCTGAGTTCCTTTCTAATCCTTCCTTCCTACCTAGGAGGCATCTTTCAAGCACTCACTCTAACTATCCATATCTGTAAGAACTGGCGCACTGCTGAGCACAAACCAGATAATTAGGGCATGTTTGCTGGAGTCCTAATGGGGTGTCCAGAAGGTTCACATGCACACTGCCTGCACACCATCACCCAAGATCAGTCCTTACACAGAAGTTGTGACCTCGTGAATGAGCCTCACCCATCAGGCCACAGATGATTAGACAAGCCAAGAAAGGGTCTCACACCCAAACGTGGCCTGTACGATAGCCAGGTCAGAAAGCTGTGCCCAGATAAGACAGCAGTGCCAGGGTGAACCAATCCAGCCCTTTTTGGGGAAAGGTGGACAGAGTCAGCACATGCAAAAGTGAGGACACACATGGGATCATGCCCCCTGCCCCCCACATACATTCAGGTCATTTGATAGGTATTGTCTGAGAGCTTACTATGGAGTAGACATTATTCTAAGCATTTAGCAGTGGAAAAATCTAACAAGAGTCTGGGAGAATGGTCTATTAATGTAGATCAAGAGTCAGGTGATTCAAAGATGAATCAAGAGGGGAGAAAAGAAGAGGAGAAAGGCAAGGGGTTGGAAAGACCTGTTATTTCGGGGGCAACTTCAGAGGTGCCTTACAAGGTGAACCCTCTCCGCTTCACTACCTGGTACCCTTTCGATGTGTTTTGGTTTGGGCAAAAAGTGTGCTGTCTCATGTCCTCTTTTCCATTTGAACATTTCCTGCCTATGCAGCAAGTGGAGCGAGTGCTCTAGAAATGCACCTGGAAGACAAATTCTCATCAATTAGTTACTAACTGCCGTTTGGATGCAGAAGGTGTGATCCTGAAATGCGGAGACATCGCTGTTTCTTGTACATCCAGTGAGGTAACCAACCTCGCCTGGTGTCACCAAGGAACTCCCCTCTCAGAGGGACTGTCTTCTTGGTGACAGAGTAAAGTGCAAAAGATTCGGAGAGATCCAAATTCTATCGACCCATGCTGCATAAGCCCTGCATAATTCAGCTTGGAGAACTAATGTATGATGCATGCTATCACCATCAAACTTGTGCTGCAAATAATTCATGCTTGCAACTTTTAAAAGATATATTATTAACATTATCACCAGCAGAATTGGACTGGCTGAATTCTTGGAGGTGGATGGAAACCATCACTCCAGTGTTCAAGATTCTCTTTAAGTGTTTAAGTGTTTCAGTCTCTGGGAGGGGAGGCAAAACAATAAGGAAATTTTGCTCCTTAACATCAAGTAAGCCTCATTTCTTTCTTTCCAATTTGACTAAAACGTGTTTTGAAAAACCTTTGAGCTGCCGTTCGAAATGGGCAGCAATCCTGTTTACAAATAATTCTTTGATGAGGCCAGCATGGGTTTGAAATCAGAAACAAAGCAACAACTTCTTCACTGCCTTCCTGGGAACTTTGGGCAAATGATGTGTCATGCCTGGTCAATTACATAAATTATCAATGATATTTTTGTTGAGTCACCCCAGGCTTCGAAAGATCCACTAACCCCAGAATACGGAACCCTAGTATTAACTTGATGAATGGGGTGGTGTCTTCTGAGATGACACCGCCTGACATCCTGTAGCTATTGTAAAGTCTAAGTTTATTAGAGCACTCGGCTCATCAGTAAGCGCTCTGCCACAGGAAGTACAAGTGGCAGTGATAAATTGACCCTGTAAAGTGATCGCAGAGCTACTGAGCGCAGCCCCATGCATGCATTCCATTTCTCAGAGGCCAGTTAAGAAAACGCCCCGATTCACTGGAGGGTTTACAGGTGATCTTGGCTCTGGTGCTGTGGAGTCAAGCTCATCAGGTGAAGGTGGAGCGGGTTCACTTAGCTCCACTAATGCACAGTCACCTTCTCAGAAAGAAAACCCGATTTGTTCCCTGTGACCTCAGGTTCCCAGTGGACGGCTGGAGAGGAAAGACTTTGGCAAGAGCCTTTGGCTCCAGATGCTTTTCTGGAAAAAGAATGTCTATAAGCAGCTCTTGAAATGTGTCCGTGTATCCTGGTTCCCTCAAAGGCCCCTGGAAGATCTTCTCTGGGCAAGGCACCCTGGCCCCAATGTTGCTAAGCTGCTGATTCATTTTTGAAGTAAAGTATGTACAGTATAAACAAAGGCCAAAGGCTGTCCTTCTGATGCTACTCATTAAAAAAAAACAAAAAAAACTGTTCAATAAACAACTGCAAGATTTGCTGGTGATGGTAGCTATCCTTTTTAGGAGACAAAAAAACCTATTAATTTTGGGTCTTAACAGTGAATATTTCTAGGAGGCTGTGAAAATGCCCTATCCTGTTAGAAACATTTTATTGAGTCCCTACTGTATTTCAGACACAGTGCTGGGGAAACAAAGATGCATAAAATAACATCCCCATTCTTGAGGAAGTCTCCCACGGGCTACGGGGGAAGCCAGGCTCATCAACCATCATGGTACAACCTGTAAGGGAGCCCACCCAGGTGAGCTGGGAAAAGCATACCAAGATGGGAGGTCTATATATGGGCTTTGTAAGTATGCCGGGGGGCCGCCAGGCGAGGAAAAATGGAAAGGGTACTGGGGTAGAGACAACAGCAGGTTCAAAGGCGCGTGGGAGAGCGTGAGTGTGGCAAGTCCAGCCACCCGCGGGAAGAGCTATGACACGGAAACAGAGGACTCAGCAGGGAAGGAAGGTGGGGTCTGTCTGCTGAGCCGTGGGGAAGCCGGGGAGGATTTGTGCAGGAAAACCACGTGATCCTGCGTGTGATGAGCAGCCTGCAGCACTAGAGCAGCCGAGGCGAGGGGCCAGGGGAGGCTGCCGTGGGAGAGGAGAAGGACAGGAGAGAACGGGAAAGGGCGCAAGCAGCGAGCCGGGGGGTTAGAGAAGCAGGAGGATCAGGGAGACACTGCAGCAGGAGACGCCATTCATGCAATCCCCTTAACATGCATCTTTTTGTTCCAGGCCTCCCACCCCGCTTTTGGAGACAGGACACATGAGCCACGGTCTGTGTGGTTATCTATCTGTCCGCAGCTCACCCCTTGCTTCTTGAGGGGGGCCCCCGCCTGATTTGCTCACTGTGCTGGAGCCTCGCTAGGTGCCTATCAGACATCGTCACCCAAGCACCTGCCCCGTCTCTCCTGGTCTTGATCACAACTGGGCTATTACGTGGACGGTCTTCCCTTCCCGCACCTAACACTCATCAGCAGGCACGGACTGCGGTGTTGTCTTGTGTGACCCCATGTTCACCAACGACATCGTTTAAGCGCTGGATTGGACGTCAGGCAAACGGATGCATGGACAAAAGGGCACCCGGGATAAAAAAGAGCCACAGACAGGCTCAAAGTCAGGCTGGAACAGCTGAACAAGCGCACTGACGGAAGCGTGGACAGACGAGGTGAGGACGGTCAACATCGCCTCTCCGAGTGAAACAGAGCTGGAGCTGAGTCGGGAGTCATTCCCGCGGGGACTCCAACCCCGGCGACGGACTCCTCCTCATCCTGGGCACGCTTCTCCTCCATCTGGAGAGGACTAGGTCTCCTTCCGTGCTCCTACACGGGAGCACGAGAGAGGCCGCCCCAGCCCAGGACACCGATGGAGCCCCCCAAGGAGGATGTGTAAGGCGTCTGGGCCGCCTCCCACCTTGGGCGGTGGAGCCGGGAGAAGGTGCCGCTTCCGGGACAACGGTGTGCCAGGACATGGAGGCTGGGAAGGCTGAGGCGGGAGAGGGGGAGGCCGACGAAATGGAAACACATTCGCTGGCAGCCAGAGACCCCTTGATCGGCCCCTGGAAGCAGCCTCTGCAGAGCATCCAAGGACACCGCGAGTGTCCGCTATTTCTTTTCTCTTCCCCTCTCTCTCTGGTACGCGGAGAGCCCGCAAGAAGAAAAGACATCTCGTTGGCTCAAGCCAGAAATACTGAACTTAAGATGAGAGATTCTCAAATTGTTAAACTTAGGGGAAGTTTAGACATATTAAGTCGTTAATCTTCTTAACAAAAGAATTACACGTATGCTCAAGGAAGGAGGTGCTCTGGGGTGAGTGGGTACCCAGCAGATGCAACACAGATCCACTGACTTTTACCCCTCTTCATCTTTCAGGTTTCAGCTTAGTTAGTTGTTCCTTCTGGAAATCTTCCCTGGTTCTCCCAAAGTTGGAACAAGGACTGTTCTGAAGATCTGATACTGCTGTGCTATATATCATAATTGCTTGCTTAGTTTCCACAACCCCCACCACTGCCAACTGTAATATAATCCCCACGAAGATAACACTGCGTGCTTTCATTCATTTAATAAATATACTGAAATTCACAAGCCATTCAGTGAGCGAGGCTCTATGGACATCACGCTGGCCAAGGACGACATGATGCTTTCCCTTGGGGAGCTTACACTCTGGAAATTTTACCATGTCCGTAGTGTTATCCTTAGCCAAACACTCATAATCAGAGCCCCCTACATATTTGTTGAATGAATGAATCACACAGCAAGAGAAGGAGTCTGGGACTAATATTGTTATTTATGGCTCCACAAATACATTTTCTAAAGTTGGACCATAGCCGCATTGAGAATAGCCCATGCTGATTTTCAGAGTCCAGATAAATAATTCAATCTGTCTCTGCTCAGACAATTTATCAATGGAAAAAGCAGTTTTAAAAACATTTGCTTTGGGGCTATGGGGCTAGCCCTTTAAATAGAGGCACTGGCAGGCTAAGGAGGCTGCTTAGTTTAACACCAATAAAAAGGGTGCAATCACGGCACTGTTATGGCCTCTACAGAACTGATTGAACAGAACTATCTGCATTTATAAAGAGAATCAGCTCAAGATATCCCTTTCATTTAGCACAGACTCAGTGAGGTTTGCCTGCTACTCTCCTTCTTTGTTATCAGGCCCTAAGATGACAATGGACCAACGTCCATAACAACGGCAACATGCACCCAGTCCCATATAAGACACTGTCCATCCCCGAGCCTTTATACAGTCGCAGTTGTAGCTGGTCACATGGAAATGGCAGTCCTCTCAGGGTTCTGGGAAGGCATTTCTTTTTATGATAAATGGAAAAGGCACAGCTCTGACAGCCATCTTTCCCCCTACCCCCCACCTTCCTGTCTCAAATGAGGGATGTGACTCAGCAGCCACTTTGAGGCCGTGAGGCAAAGGCCAAGTAAAATGCCGAGATGGGCCCTGATATCATTTAGTACTAGATCCAGCTTTTATATCCTCAGGACTATTGATATTTGGGGCCAGATCACTCTTTGTTGCAGGGGTCTGTACTGTTCATTGTGAAATGTTGAGTGGCATACCTGACCTTTTTGCCCACTGGATGCCAGGTAACAATAAAAAATATGTCTCCCAGGGACCTACTGTATAGCACAGGGAACTGTACTCAATATTTTGTAATAAACTATAAGGAAAAAGCATCTGAAAAAGAACACTTATACGTTTATATATGTATAATGGAATCACTTTGCTCTACACCTGAAGTTAACACAATATTAGAAATCAATTATACTTCAAAATAAACATTAGTGTCTCCCAATGATCACAACCCAAAATGTATCCAGACACTGCAAATGCCCACTGGAGGTGGAGGGGAGGGTAGCAGAATCATCCCTGGTTGAGAACCATGGTATTATACTAATGCCAGGAACTTGCTACCTCTAGATTTCACATAAGAGGAGACAACTAAAAGTAAATGTTTATTTAAGTTCCTGGAGTCAGGCATTCTGTTACTTGCAGACAAAGCCTTTCTCACTATATATTTGTTGTTGTTCAGTTGCTAAGTCATGGCCAACCATTTGCAACCCCAAGGACTGCAGCACACCAGGCTCCCCTGTCCTTCGCTATCTCCTGGAGCTTGCTCAAATTCATGTCCATTGAGTCAGTGATGCCATCCAACCATCTCATTTATATTATATAACCATCTCATATATATATATATAAAATAAAATATCATCTCATACATATATATATATTTATGATATATACATATGGCTGGTATATGTATACTATTTCACTGTCACCATGAAAACTTACTGAATAACAGTGGACTCCACTCATTGCATATCTGGTCTTCCTCAAAGTTGATCCTAGCTCTACTTGACGCCTCCTTAGAACTCTTGTATTATGTGTATTCTATTATTATCTACATAAAAACTTAGGAGAGTGCCTGATTCTTAACACTGTTAGCTCAGAGACTTCAAATAGTTAGTGGTTAAGAACACTGAACTTGAAGTTAGATGGCTTGGGTTCAACTCCTGGCCCTTAGAAGCAAGGAGAGTATCTTAGCTTCTCTGAGCCTCATTTCTCTTCTCTGTAAAATAGGAGTAATTACGGGATCCACCTTCAAGTCTGTTAAAAGAATTAATTATGTTGTCTGAGCAGTGCAGACGTTTTCAGAAGGGAGATGATGCAAAGATGGGGACACAGGGTAGCTGCGTTCCTCATATGGCGTAAATGAAGAAAGAGAAGCAGGATTAAAGATTTGGAAGCAGTGAACTGCAAGCTGTCTCTGGGCACTCTACCTTCACAGAAGTTTTCTCTATTTCCAGTGAAAGGAATCGTGAAGTCAGTGGAATCGATACCCTTAAATATTGTGCCGCTAACATCAAACCACAGGTTTACACTTCTTATTTTATTTCCAAAATATCTGGGCTCTGTCACACAGCTACAGCCCAGAAATACTGGTAACTGCCTCTGAAGGTCATCAACTGCATTCTTCAGCCTCCAGAGAGAATATCCTTGGGTAGCATGTGGCCATCCATTATGTGATGGAGACATTTCTGAAGCAGAGATGCTCAGAGATGCTTGTCAACAATCCCCTCATTGATTTCTGCCCTGTGCTGGGAGCAAGCACTCCCTTCCATGTAACTCACATTTCTCACGGTGCTCAGGAAGGCTACGTTCTCATCAACTGTCCTCTCTGAAAACAAATCACAACCCAAGAGAGTTGAGTACCTCAAAACCACATTCACAGCATTAGATAGATTTGGGTCTTCAGGAAACAATTTGTTGTGTTTGTGGAGTTTATATTCTACTGCTCTCCACCCAGTGTCTCCATCTTCATTAACGGAGACCTGGTACATCCTCTTTCAAACTTTGATACGGCCCACAGTGAAAGATGCCCGCGGGAATAATACAAACCATTGGTCATGTCTCGAAGAAGTGCTCTCTCTTAAGAGAAGCAGAGTGGTTTTCCTCATCTTTCTCTTTTGCTGGCTACACAAGAATCAGAGTGGAATCTCTGATAGGTAAAGTTTGTAATAATTACAACTTGGGTCCTGCTGTGATTTTGTTACGGTGTGAGCGTTAAAAATGGGACTTCTAAATTTGAATTATTGATCAGTATGTTCACTCAGGCAGCCATTCTCCCCCTCCAACGAGCAGTACATCTTAACTGACAAAGACTCACATTTTAAAAAAATATTAACCAACTCTGGAGTTTCCAAGACAGCCGTGGGTGTTTTTTCTCAAGCTGTGAGCTGTCTTCCTAAGGCGTTCTTCATGGAGTGTAGGTAAAGTCCAACATTTTAACAGACCAGCACGGGAGTGGATGGCGTCCCAGGAAGCCGGCCTTTCTCGGGAGGTCTTCACAGTACGTCATGAATGTGATGTGCACATAAGTCACGTGGGGACGCTGTTAAAGTACAGACTGGGACTCAGCCGGTCTGGGGTGGAGCCTGAGACTCTGCATTTCTAGCAACCCTCTGCAGATGCTGATGCTGCTGGGCCACAGTGAATTTTTTGAGGAGGATTCTAGAACCTCTGATGTGGTAAATAGACCTAATACAGGCCTGACTCTGCCAGTGTGCTTATTATGTCCTCCTAGATCCTGCAAACTCTCCATTCCCTGAGTGGCAGATCAGGACGCCTGCACCCTGTGCTAGACTGTCCTCAAGAACTGTGGTCCAGGGAGAAGGTTATCTCAGGGGAACCTGGCAGTGACAATTGTGTACACTGCTGACGGTTCCAAGAGATTAACCACACCATGACCTCTATGAAGTGAGACCACAGCAGGCTCCAGGAATAAACGCTAAGACAACAGAAGCAGAGCAGAAATGATATGGCCAGACTCAGGAAAGCTGTGAACCAGGAACGCAAAACCATCACGGAAACCAGGACCTTTGAAAGTCACTCAAGGCAGAACTGTTGACAAGTCATTAGGGACAGCAAGACAGACTTAAGACCATGATTAAAATTAAATTTTACCAATGGCAAGAGTTAAAAGGGATTCGACAGAAAATAGTAGCAATGGGATACAGATATAAAGGAGATTTGACATAAGTGGTGTGTGTTAGGTATAAATGATACATCTATACTAGACAATGAGAAGAAGACATATTCAATGATATAATTCAAGAATGTTTCCCTGAAATAAAATAGTATGTGATTTTACAGGTTTAAAGAGTTAGAAGGCATTAAGGATAAAAAATAAGTAGCACTGGAAAACAAAGGAGATTAAACCTAAACACAACTGTTATGCTTCAAACAAAGATGCAATAATATAAACAAAACAGAAAAAAAATTGAGGATATAATTTAAGAGAGCATAAAATTCCCTAGGAAAAACTGATAGAAATTAATTTATACTGAGATATATTCTTGCATAATTCTCAAGCTGCAAAAAGAAAGTGGAAATTGTATGACAATCCAGTTAAATTATGTATGAAGGGGAAAAAATTAGACTGATTCCAGAACTTACTTG